TCTTTCCTAAAAAGCACATAGCCATCCATGACAGCATCCCAGTCATGTGAACTATCCCACCATGTCTCTGTAACTGCAATGAGATCATGGCCCTGCGACCGCACACAGATCTCTAACTCTTCCTGCTTATTCCCCATGCTGCGTGCCTTGGTGTACAGGCATTTCAGAGAGCCAATCGAGCATGCAGGCTTCTCAGGAGAGGTGCAAGAGGATCCTCCATAGCCATGTTCCATGCTGTCTCCCCTGGCTGCATGCACCCGCTGGAGGCATCCTGACTTGAGTGGCGTTTTGCTACCTACCCTGTCTCTATAACGCTCCCCTTCCCCCCATCTTTCCTAGTTTAAAGCCCTCCTTACCAGGCTGGCCAGCCTGTTGACAAAGACATGTTTGCCCCGCTTGGCGAGGTGGATCCCATCTCTCCCCATCAGCTGTCGGTCTTCGACCAGGGTCCCGTGGTCATAGAAAACAAAACCCTGTTGTCAACTCCAGCGGCGCAGCTAGTCGTTCACTTGGAAAACTCGTCTACTCCTCCTCCCGTCCTTTTCCCTCACAGGCAAGATTGAGGAGAAAATGACCTGGGCTCCCAGACCCTTAACCACCATTCCCAGAGCTCTGAAGTGCTGTTTGATGGTTTCCAAGTTGCCCTTGGTGTCATTAGTGCCCACATGGAAGAGCAGCAGAGGGTAGTAGTCTGATGCATGGACAAGCCTTGGCAGTCTTTCCATGACGTCTCTTATTTGAGCCCCTGGCATGGCAGCAAACCTCTAGACAAGAGGTCAGGTGGGCAGATAGGTGCCTCTGTCCCCTGCATCAGGGAGTCACCCGCAACAATCACTTCTTGCTTCTTCTGGGTGTTCCCGCATGGCACGGGGTCTGTCTGGCCAGTATCTTTCCTTGAAGCCACGCTCAGTTCCTCCTCAGCCTGGAGGGCACTAAACTTGTTCCTCAAAGGTGAGTCTTGAGGAGGAGCAAGAGCCTTTCTCCTTCTATGAGAGGTCACCAGTTTCCAGCCTTCTTCAACAGTGTTATGATGTACCGTTTCACATGGCACAGAGTGTTGTGTATAAATACACACGCACACACACGTGTGCACGCATTCAAGGAAGCATACAAAAAAAACCCCTTTTGATATAATAAATGTCTTTAAAAAAAAAAGTAAAGATGGATTTAAATTTAAGTTTTAGGGAAAAAAAATTTCTTTGTAAATATCAAAAAGTTACTGAAAAGAGTATTTGACAGAAGGGAATTCTACAACTTCTCATTCCCAAGACATGCATCTATATTAGCCAGACACAAGGCTCCGACCCTTAATAGACAAAATTGAAGACCCTAGTATTAGCTTTAAGAAATATCTTCAATGAACTACTGTTCTTTACAATAAATATGTCAGTAAAGAGAAATATACCTTATCAACTTCATGCTGTCCTCCATCCTCTTCAGAATCAGAGGCTGATGCAGAACCCACTTGGGAAGCATTTCTCCTTTTTGGTTCGGTCTCTTTCTTTCCTTCTCTTCTATCAAATTCCGTTCTTGGTTTGTCTTCTTCCTTCTGACTCTCCTCATCTTTTTTCCCTTGTTTTTTGGGCTTTTCTTCCAGTCCTTTTTTCTTTGTCTTCTCCTCCTCGTGAACACTAAAACACAGTAAATTATTTAAGCTTCATATTCATTATCTATACCCAGCTTAAAACTGAACCTAGTTCTCTCAATTCAGTAAGATGTACTTTCTAGTTTTTACTAATGAATACCTCACCTGCACAAAGTTAGCTCATTCCTAGATGTTTAATTTCATAGGATCATAGGACAATTCAGGTTGGAAGGGGCTTCTGGAGGTCTCTTGTCCAACCCCCTGCACAAAGGTGGGTCAGCTATGAGGTCAGACCAGGTTACTCAGGGCTTTCTCCAGTTTGGTCTTGAAAACCTCCAAGGATGGAGACTGCACAACCTCTCTGAGCAACCTGCCCCACTGCTTGATTGTCCCCAGGGTGAAAAAGTATTTCCATACATCCAGTCTGAATCTCTCTTGTTTCAACTTATGCCTGTTGCCTCTCATCCTCCCACCATGCACCACTGAAGAGCCTGGCTCCTCCTCCTTGGTGACCTCCTTGTAG